ACCCTCCATCTCAAACAAACAAACAAACAAACAGCAGAGAAGGAAAAAGAGAACAGAATAGCTCTGTGTTGTTAAAGATGCAATATTTGACACATTTAAGCACTTCATGTAGTGCTTTGAATGATCCGTGCCTCTGTTTTGAGTGATGTGATCCAGGGGTTATGAAGCACAGTCCATTTGTACCAGGCCTCTAGCAATCATAGACTGGCAGAAATAAAAATGAAAAGGGAATAAAAAAGGTAGCAGGGTGTCTAGACAGAAAAGTGCTTTGCCTAGACCAAGTGCACTGACCTATCTGACCACTAGATGATGTACTGGAAGGCACAGAATTACCTGAAGCTTATCATTCAAAACTTTGTCGTGCTCTGCCTTTAGCTCATCTTTGTCTACCTGAATCTGGTTAGCCAGTTGTCGCACACGCTCCTCAAGCATCTTTTCTTTCTGGTCTACCATATGCTGGTTTATCTTCTTCACTTCCTCCACCATTTTTGTTACAGCCTGTGCATTTTCAGCTTGTGCGGCTTCCACTGAGAACAAAAAGGAAGAAAATACAGTGTAGGATTACCACGTAGCTTCTCCCTCAAATGCCTGTTTATATTGTCACTTTGCAGATAAGCCAGTAGTGACGGGAGTTCCGCCAAATACTTGAGTGAAGACACATCTTTGCTGTTCTTGCTGTAGTTTGAAAACCTGATGTAACTAAGCCAGCACCAAGGAAGGAGAAGGCACTAATTACCCCTGGGCTTCACTGCCAGGGGAGCTCAAAGTCTGCTTAGATATTCACTCTACACAGGGACAAAAGTTCTCTGGCCGCCCCCCGCCCTCCCCGCAATGTAGCTTCCATACTCCGAATGATTTGAATGACTAAGCTTTCACAGACAGTGCAATGAAATCCAGTGTTTTGAGCAAGTAGTATATAATAAAATTTAAAATTTGCAAAAGGAAATCTTCCTTTTATCTATTCTGTTTTGAGCAAGTAGTATATAATAAAATTTAAAATTTGCAAAAGGAAATCTTCCTTTAATTTTAGCAGAAATGTTACTCACCAACCCCTTAGTAGTATGGTTCAATGAGCCTACAGACTTTCTTCATTTGCATCTAATTTTCACACCTCGTTCATAGCAATTAATATGTAATTATCAATTACTATGCAATACAGAATGCATTATACTATATTCTATAAGATATAATAATATAACCCAAAACAGAATAGATAATTAACAGCTATTATAGAATAAAATTGCAAAATTGCAAAAAGAAAACCATCCTCTAATTTAACAGAAACATTACTCACTGACCTCCAAGTAGTTAGACTCAGTTGGGCCTAAAGCCCTTGTTAATTTTCCATCTACTTTTCAAATCACTTCTGACAACACAAATGAACTCTAAAATCAGGTCCTGCGTCTAGCAGTAGGGTGTGGATGAAGAAGATAAAGCTTTTGCTAAACAGATTATATAAGGTGTGATATCACACGGTCTGTGTTCTCTCTACAGGAAATGCACATGACTTCATACTTAGTGTGCACATCACCATCATTAAAATCGCTAGCAGATCATACAACCATGAAAGAAGCTTTAGTAGGTGACTTTCCACCTTAATTTCATTTTTACAGTGTTTATGGGCCAGTGTGTGTGCAAGCATGACGACCTCATGCTCAGTGGAGTTGTTTACAGTGTGGAAAGTCAATCACTACACTTAACACTGGTGGGGGCTGTGGGGCAGGGAAACTTTGATGATGCATATTTAAGATTCTAATACATTTTATGTTCATTTCTCTGTTCTTCATCTCTTTGTCCTGAATTTCTTTCTCATATTTTCTTCTCTCTTCTGCTAGTTCCTCTTTGAAATAGAGTTGCTGTTCCTAAAAAGGGAGACAAAATAATGACATAACATAGTGTCACATAAATTGTGTAACTACAAAATAATTTGTACTTTAGTTCTTTAACTTAATATCCCAATCAGATAAGGAGCTATCCAAGCTGGTCTCCTGTCTTAACTTCTATTATGTTACTTTCTCTTAAGGCTTTTGTGAAAGCTATGGGACACAGTTTGTCTCTTCACTGTCTTCAGAAGATGGTCACTGATGGAGTCCCTGAAATATTGTTGCAGAGTTCTCCTTTGGGATCCTTGATTCAAAAAGTAGCAGCAATAATTGTATGCAATTATCACATTTCTTTTCCCCCTACAACTTCCTCTTGTATAATATGGATGGTCATCTCAGACGACTGCCAATGGAAGAATTTATCCATGATGCTAAGAAGCAGGAGAATAGTCTGATCATGAAATTCAGTATAAGCCTGAATAATTTTGGATGGGATTATTAAGGAAAGAAAGTTGAGGCAATCAGGACTACAGTGTCCAGAGTGTACATCTGGGTCAACACACAGAATCTTCAGATTTAGAATAATGCCAGAGAACAAGATAATAGTAGCAAGGACATTGATCCGGTGTCTTCCAGCAAACAGCTAGCCCTTCTACTCATCAGGATGCCCACGGAGCTAACAACAGAGCTGGTGAGGTAAAGACAAAATCACTGCCGGTTTCACTACATGGGAAATACACTCATCTTATGCAATGTAATTTTTTCTTGGAAAAACATAATAGTTTCTCTGTCATTCATTGAGGATTCAAATATGCCATATATATAAAGAATTTTGCACAGGGCCTCCGATTAATAGCTACTGTGTAAAGAATGACAATAATTCAGGCTCCATGGAGCATAGTGTTTGTTAAGCAGCCTTTAGCAACTGCAGATTTGTGGTGATAGAGACATGAAAGATATAAAACTGCAGTAAGTTTCCAGGACAGCTGGGGCTGCAGGGAGACCCTGTCTCAAAAAGACAAAAAACAAAACCAAAAACAAATAAAACTGTAGTATCTGGCTGAAATAGTCCTTTACCTGGACCAAGCATACTGATTTGTAGCCAGTGTCTTTTATCCCTGCCCATTGGATGAGAAAATTGGTATTACGTGGTGAATTACCTGAAGCTTAAGAGCCATGGCCCTGTCCTGTTCAGCCATCTGCTGAGCTCTGTCCTGCTCCATCTTTTCAATCAATTGTTGCACATGTTCCTGATAATTCCTGTCTTTATTTCCCAACATCAACTCATACTTCTCTTGCATTTCCTTCGACATCCTTGATATAGTCTCTGAAGATTCAGCTTTCAGATGATCCACTATGGAGGAAAGGGAAGGAAAATATGTAGGATTGCAGGTTGTCTCCTCCCTCTGAGACCTATCTGTCATGGTATTAATGGACGGATGGAGTTCTAAGGCACAAATTTTTTCCTTGAATGGACGTTACTGCTTCTGACATATTAAATTTCACTGAGACATGGGTTTTACTTGCTATTCTTGTTCTAAGGTGGCCTGTATCTGAGGATAACCTCTAATTACTCACGGGCTCATACATAGGGAGATGACTGAAGTTTCCTACATCTGCTTCTATAGATGCCAGCTCTCCCTGAATTCAGTGTCCAAGTGGCAACTCATATGTCAGTTGTTAACTGTACCTCAACTGTACACTGAAACCATTGTGCTCTGACATTGGCGCCTTATAAGGGCATTTCTTTAAATGGAACCATACGTGGTCTATGGACTATTAGGACGAGTGATATTCAACTGTGACTAAAGAATTGACTAACTCTTCAGAACACACACAAACCCGTAAGTAAGGAACATGGGGTCGAAGAACCTAAGAGTATTGCATAGATGGAGGAGAAAAGTCTATTCTCAGAAGTTGGCTGATAGTTCCCTCAAAATATGCATCTCAGTTACGCCATTTACAGTATCTCCAGCAGAAAGTGTGGTTAATTTCAAATACAGGAACAAGTAAATCGCAAATGAATCACGAATAATACAGATAAGAATGAAATTTAAACCTTCACTTGGAAAGATGGTTTTGCAAGTGTTTCATTTTGCTAACTTATGGCTCAACAGGAGTACAAGTCTCCTGACTTCAAGTGTAGCACAGCAGCAGCTGAGAGATGTGCTACAGATACCATTAAACTTGTTCTCTGATGGGAGGGCATAACCAGGGAAACCCTTGTTCTGTGAATTAAATTTCCATTTGTTATTTTTCTATATGTGTATATGTGGTGGGGTGGGCAGTGTATGAACTCATCAGTTGAACTCATCCCCAGGCTTTGCAGCAAGTGCTTTTACCCACTAAGTCATCTTACCAGCCCTGTTATAGGAATTTTTATGTTCTAGTAATCATGCAGAAGATAGTACTTGTTTCTTTGTGTCTCCTCTCCGCATTCCACATCTCTTCTTGAAGTTTTCTGCTCTCTTCTTGAAATCCTTCCTGGAGTAGTTGTTTCTGTTCCTAAGAGAGAAAGAGAATATTGACTTATCAAGAGAAAGTATACATTTATAAAATTTATTACATGACTTTCAAATTAATTTATATTAAATTTCAATAATTCTTCAAGAGCCTTGACCTTTGTTTTTTATTTTGTTACCATGAGGCCAGAGGGTATGGCAAAAGACCATCAGATCCCCTGAAGCTGGAGTTACAGGTGTTTATGACCCTACTGGTGTAGGTCTTAGGGACTGAACCTGGGTCCCCTGTAAGAGCACCCAGTGCTCTTAACCAGTGAGCCATCATTCCAGCCCATTGGTGTCATTTTAAATGTGAAACGTGTTTAAACTGGTATTGTTTTAAACTGAATATTTAAAAACTGCAAATTGTTAAGCTTTAAATGACTTTAAAAAATAAAAGCAAGCCTGTAACAGACTTACACAATGCTTCTCTGTGAGGATCTATTGTTTGTGGATCTGTAGTTATTAAGAAAAATGAGTTTCACAGGACATTTTTTCTAAATGCAAATGACTTCCAATAACTAGAGATGCACCAGGGTTGCCACAGTAACCTTGAAGGGGCTGCTAGAAAATATGTGCGGAAATTTTCTTATACAACATGATTCTCTAACCTCCACACAGCAGTTTCAATTTCAAGTGATCTTCCTACCAATTCAGGAATCAGAAAGACAAGCCAACAGAATACCTGGAGTTTAAGAGCTAGTATCGTCTCTTGCTCTGCTTTTAACTGGGCCCTGTCATTCTCCATTTTCTCAGTCAACTGTTTCACATACTCCTGAAAACTCTTTTCTTTCTGTTCCATTAGTTTCTCATTCTCCTTTTGTGTTTCTTCTAACAGTTTTGCAGCAGCCAGTGCAGATTCAGTTTTTTTACGTTCCGCTGAGAAAGAGGAGGAAGAAGCATTAAGTAGGTTTGTGGTGTGGAGGCACTGAGTGTTCTCATCCTCTACCAATTCATAGGATGAAGCCCTACTTACCATACAATGATATTAGGTGGTGGGCCTTGCTGAGGTAATCATTTATATGGGATTATAAGAATGGAGCCCCCACTATGGGCTCAGCACTATTGTGAGAAGAGACCAGACAGGTCTCTCCACCATGTGAAGATGCAGTGAGACGACAGCCAGGGTACCAAAGGCAATTTTTTTGACCATCCTAGAATCCAGACTTTAGAACTATGATAAATACATTAGTGCTATGTGTACCATCTGTCTATGGTATTCTGTTATAGCCATCAACACTGGAGGAGACAGTGATGCATTCTTCCTCCTTATGTACATTCTTATTGTCACTATTTGATGGAAAGAATTTCCTGGGATCATTTATCCCTTGGAGTGGCTGTACCATTAGTGACTTCATGCACACCAGCAAGGAAGGACTTCAGGAGTTACAACAAATTTTATGATTCCATAGTTACCTTTTAACGTATTTTCTATTTTTATTGAATTTTTCTGTATCTCATACAGAAAATCATTTTTATGCCCTCTTCCCCTTTGGCACCTTTCCATATCCCCCACTGGAGTTCATACATTCTGACGTTTGTGTTAAGGCCTATCATGTAAAGTTAACGAACCCAGATGTCCTGGAGTGCAAGTTCATCCACTGGGATCTAGTCAGTCTATCTAGAGTCCCTCCCTTTAAGAAGATCAGCTCATTGTTACCCAGTAGTAATCAGCTACCAATAATTCTTTGACTCAGATTGGGCCCTGCTATTCATTTCCATAGTTCTGTGCTGGGCTTTTGTTTGTTAAGTTTGCACAGGTCTTGTGTATGCTGACATTGCTGTAGGTTTGCATGAGAAGACTCCCGGGAACCTGTAAGACTATGACCATATGGTCAAGCACCTCCTCCCTGGCTCTTACAATCATTCTGTCCCCTCTTCCACAATGGTCCCTGAGCCCTGGGTGGGCGGATTTTAATAGCAGGGTCCTGCCCAAGGACCCAAGCTCTGCAGACTCTTATTCTCTGCAGTTTGGCCATTTGTGACTTTTTGCATTCCTGGCCTTCTGTCCCATGAGGGAGCTTCGTTGATGAGAATTAAATGATGCATTAGTGTTGTATTCATCCCCTGTTCTGTGTTCTATGAGCCTTAAGTGTGGAGGCTACAGCCTAGATGCACCACTTAGGCTTAGGCAATTCACAAACAATCTCTGTATATGACCAGTTGTGTCTCTTGAAAAAGAAGCTTCTCTGAAGCCACTATTTGATGAGCATTTACATGAGACACAAGTATGTTCACATCCTTTGCCCATTTGAGGAGAAAAAAACAAGAAAACGAGCTTCTTAGCTGGGTGGTGTGACTATCATACTTGTCTATAGATTTAAGATCCATATTACATTTGTCTAGGGATGTGACAGACATGGAGTTGTCTCTAAGATCTATGACCTCTCTAGGTATGTGGATTTGCCTCAGTTTATAGTTCCACACATGAATTTCCTCCCATTGAGTGGGCTTTAACGTAGTCACTTTTATAACCTACACAGATATTTACACTTAATTGATTCGTTGGGAACCGTGTGTTCTGGTTCACTTCTCACCTTCAATCTCCTTTTCCTTAGCATTCAGATTGGTGTCCATTTGTAAAATTGCATTAGAAACAGCCTCTATTGACTGCAAATATTTCTGTAGAATCTCTTCAGCCTAAGGTTTCAGAGAACATAGAGTTATTATGGGAAATTCTGACCACACATCTGTCTGTCTGTCTCCCCACCATCATCCAGAAATTGCTCCTCTTGGCCAAGATGCAGAGCAAGAGGAACAGACAAATCCTCCAAGCCAGTCAGAGCACCCTGCTACACAGGGCCCTTTAGAATACATTGGTACCGGGAGAAAGAAAAGCTGTCCATTTAGACAGAGGCTTATGGTTTGGAGCTCTTGGTCTTGAGATTTTGGGGTCTGAGCTTGCGGGAAGAGTGAAGCCCTCCAGGGAAATCAGTTCAGAGAGACAAAGAAAGGAATAAAGGCTGGAGCATAGAGCAGAAGGCAAGTATCAAATAGAGAAAAGGATGTTTCCAGAATGTTTAAACCTAGCTCTCCTTAAAAGCCAGTTTTGTGGCTAAATGAACCAGTCATGACCTTTACTTAGCCAACAGTCAGTGGCTTATGTCCTCTGAAACATCAATTTTTCAGTTTTTGGAATGCCTGACTAGTGTGAGAAAGCAAGCTTCCTCTCTGTCTTCTTGTTCAATAAGACAGTGAGTGCTATTTAGAAATCTCTGCAGTCACTTTGTGCCCATGGTCGCACTGGTGTTTCAGGCAGTCATGTCAGCCATTCCCGAACACACAGATAAATATCTTGGTTACCTGTACACCCTTCCTGGGTTCTTCGTGGTACATTTTTGTTAGCCTTTGCATCTCATGAAGAAAGAGAGAGTAACCTCCTGGGTTAGAATAGGTGCCCTGCTTCACAGCTTCTTCTAGAGGTCTGAAAATATCCTGCAGTAATGCCTGGCAACCAGTTGATGATGCTTCCACGTTGCGTTTACAAAAGTCATCACACCTTTTTTCTAGCTGAGACTGCAGTGTGAAAACAGAAGTGAAAGGAGTAATCAGGAAAGGATGGTCGGTGGGTTCAGGATTTCTGCAAGGGCCTCTAAAAACCTTGAAGTTGCCAGGCGTAGTGGCACACACCTTTAATCCTAGCACTGGGGAGGCAGAAGCAGGCAGATCTCTGTGAGTTCAAGGCCAGCCTGGTCTACATAGTGAGTTACAGGACAGCTGGTGCTACAGGAGTCCCTGTCTCAAAAAGACCAAAAAGGAAAACAAACAAACAAACAAACAAACATACAAAAACTATGAAGTCCCCAGAGCCTTAAGAAAACTAAGGAGAATCGTAGTCCTTCTTTTGAATCAAAACTTCTTATGGAGTCTCTTCTTCCTACAGGTGATGCTCAGAGCAGAGATTGTGTATTTAATCCTAGTTCAGTGTCTAAACTTTGCTTTTAAACTGGATTGATATTTCCATGAGTGAAATACAGTCAACAAATCACAATCCTATGCCGAGAACCAAGACGATATATTTCATCCCTTTACTATGGTAGCAAATCAATCAGATAACAGTA